GCTGATTTTGTTGTGTTGTGGCTTGTTTCCATTGTGTTGCGCTCATTTTGTTGTGTTGTGGCTTGTTTCCGTTGTGTTTCTCTCCTTTTGTTGTGTTGTGTTTCCATTTTGTTGCGCTAATTTTGTTGTGTTGTGGCTTGTTTCCATTGTGTTGTGCTAATTTCGTTGTGTTGCGGCTTGTTTTCATTGTGTTGCGCTAATTTTGTTGTGTTGCGGCTTGTTTCCATTGTGCTGTGTTAATTTTGTTGCGATGCGACTTGTTTCCATTGTGTTGCACTAATTTCGTTGTGTTGCGCTTGTTTCCATTGTGTTGTGCTAATTTTGTTGCGTTGCGGCTTGTTTCCATTGTGTTGTGCTAATTTAATTGTGTTGCGGCTCGTTTTTCGTTGTGCTGTGCTAATTTTGTTGTGTTGTGGCTCGTTTCTGTTGTGTTGCACTAATTTCGTTGTGTTGCGGCTCGTTTCCATTGTGCTGTGCTAATTTTGTTGTGTTGTGGCTTGTTTCCATTGTGCTGTGCTAATTTTGTTGTGTTGTGGCTCGTTTCTGTTGTGTTGCGCTAATTTCGTTGTGTTGCGGCTCGTTTCCATTGTGCTGTGCTAATTTTGTTGTGTTGTGGCTCGTTTCTGTTGTGTTGCGCTAATTTCGTTGTGTTGCGGCTCGTTTCCATTGTGCTGTGCTAATTTTGTTGTGTTGTGGCTTGTTTCCATTGTGTTGTGCTAATTTCGTTGTGTCGTGGCTTGTTTCCATTGTGTTGGGCTTATTTTATTGTTGCATGCTTGTTTTCATTGTGTTGTGCTAATTTTGTTGTGTTGTGGCTTGTTTCCCTTGTGTTGTGCTAATTTTGTTGTTGCATGCTTGTTTTCATTGTGTTGTGCTAATTTTGTTGTGTTGTGGCTTGTTTCCATTGTGTTGCACTTATTTTGTTCATGCATGCTTGTTTTCATTATGTTGTGCTAATTTCATTGTGTTGCAGCTTGTTTCCATTGTGTTGGGCTAATTTTGTTGTGTTGCGGCTTGTTTCCGTTGTGTTGTGGAGGTCAAGGCTGTAGCTAAAACACAAAATGTTTAATTAATTAATTAATTAAACTCTGAGAAGTGAACAGACTATGCGCTGAATTAGAGACTGTAAATGTGAGTGAGTCCAATATCATTGGTCTTAAAAAAATCAGGTAAAATGTTTCCGACGCCCGTGCTGAACAAACTAAACTGTGGTTGGTTGCTTTGTTTGCCAGTGACACAGCCTCTGCCGATCTAAGTGGGTGGTTATTTACCAATGAAAGCTGCTATAGTGCCCAGACCTTTAGCTGTCAGTAAAAACTCTACACAATGTGGCTACACAATATCTACAGTAGCTGCAATTTAACATGTACTTCCATTATATTCATATTTGTCCTACCAGTTTTTGGTTCTTTTAAAGTTTGTTCCAACTTCTTGCTTTAAATGAAGACACATAAGCTTCGGGTTTTGTGCTCAACATTTTAACCACAGTCAAAAGTTAATGATTTTGAGACATAAGATGGCACAAATGAACTTGAGTGTTGAATGATGGGAGATGTAAAAGTGTCACTGCTTTGTTGGTTAATTTGTCAGTTGTGTCAAATTATTTGTGCACTTAATGCCCAAACTTACCAATCACAATAAAGGATTCCAGACAGTCATGTATTAAGTTGCTTTATGAAATGAGCGTACCTGAAATGATTTGATGAAAGTCCACAGGAGCGTGCGAATGCCCTCTCCTCTGCTCAGCAACTTCACTAAGCGCATGACACGAAACAGACGAAAGAATGTGATGGAAATTCTTGCACTGCCTTCCGTGTTCTGAGAAAAACACCAGACAGCATTCAAGACACAGTTCATGTTAATGAGGTACAATGTGTTTCCACCCTCTACTTCAGTGTGTCTCTGTCACACATCGCACAGTGTGTGTGGATTGTGTGTGAACAGACCGTGCTTTTGAGTGTTTTAACGCTCGGCATCATTCACTGGTCATTTTCATGCAGAGTTCGTGCATGCACTGCAGGCTTCGCATTCCCAACAACAAATGCTTAATGGTCCCATATTCATAACAAAGACCTTCTTTTCAAGACAACACACCGGGCATCTTACCCCTGTCTATACTGCAAATACAGCAGCTTCTGTTTGCGTCAACAAATCAAAGGGCTCGTATTAAAACTCACAATCAACCTATAGTCTTTATAGCAATATATACTAAAGTCAATATATATACACACACTTTAGTATATATACTTGATTACCCTTACAAAAAAAGAAGTTTATTCAAGTGTGCTATTAGTATACTTCTTTTAAACTATAAAATAGGAAAGTATACTTTCAGTCTACTTTTTATGTACTTCTCAGAAATATACTTAAAATGACATTTAAGTATACTTGACTTATACTTAGAAAAAGTCTAAATATATTTTAGCTATACTTGTGGACCGAGAATCCATGTTTTCATTGTTATATGGTAGGGGGCGCTATTACACATCTTCTGTACAGAATTTCCAAAAAAACACAAGTGCAGAAGAAACCGAAACAACAGATGCTTCCATGTGTATTCTAACATGATCATCAGACATAAAACAGCATCAAAACTGTGTAACGTTATGGAATAAAATGACGACCCATGAGGAGGTAATAACTGTCAAGCTTTGGGGTGTTGATCGACTCCATCTACATTTTGATTATCACTCTGAATCCAATTCATAGTCTTTTTTCAGCTTTTTGTTCAAAATGTTGTTTATTTCTTTCTTTATCTTTTTATTTATGAAACTTACCCGCATTCATGTATTTATAAAAAAGAATGCATGAAGCTAGAATAAAATGTTTTTGTTTACAAGCAGATACCCTGTTCCTTCTTTTGATGTTTTGTATGTTCAGATATTTATATAACAAAATATATACAAATTAATACCTAATTAGGGACAGTATGATGTAAAGTTCACTTAAAGAAAACGTACGAGTATACTTGCAGTATAAAACTACTAAACTAGTAGTTTACCTAGACTATATACTTCAAAGTGTACTAAAATGCTACAAGTATTTAATTAGTAAACTATCAGTATACCTATGAGTTTACTTTTAGTATAGTTGCAGTACAAACTAAAAACATAGATGTAAACTAGTTGTGTACTCAAAGTTTACTACTGTTATACTTAAAGTATATTTAAAAGTATACTTTTATGTACTAGAAAGTGGGCCAATTTAGTCCCAAGGAGTATTGAAATAGTACACTTACAAGTATACTACTAGTTCACTGATATTTGTATACTTACTACATAAAGTATACTTAAAAATATACTTGAACTTTACTTAAGTATACTTAATAAAATTAACTTGAAGTATACTTCTTTTTGGTAAGGGTATATATAAAAATTTTAATTATTGAGCTTTCTCATGATGAATTACATAATACAGTTGTGCTTCCTTTTGAACTAATCATGCCTAGACACTTGCCCTCAATACTGCGTTTTACATATTAAACACATAAAAGAAAAAAAATCAGTAATTAATTTCAGCTACATAGAATCACTTTAAACAGTAAATGTGTTTATGGCATACTTCTAACATTACAGTGATACAGGTAATTCTCAGAAAATAGTACCATATGTGCCTGAAGTCTTCATGCCTTCATTCTTTTGAAAAGTATTTCAAGTAATTATATTTCCAAACCTTAGGCCAAAAGGACTATGGTTGTCACTGCCATAAACACTGTGACTTTAAATGCAGACCTTGAGCCAAAAACACCAAACACCAATGACTTGTACATATGGGTACAGTCATTTTAGACACTTCCAAAACTGTTGCAACAGAGATGGAAATACAGTTTTTAATTACATGCATTATGATTCTATCTTTGTTTTTGTTTTTAACCTATTAAAACTGGAAGCTGGCTGATATTTAGCTGAAGAACAAACATTGTATTTAAAAAGATCGCTCACTAAACAGAGTTCTTTCCTGAAAATGACCCACATAAGCTTCACCTTTAATATTTGAACAAAAACAGACAGAGATGCTGGGCATGGATCATGCTTTTACTTACATTGATCTCCGTGATCGCAATGTCAACGATGCTACCAACAACAATTAAGGCATCAAACGTGTTCCATGCATCGGCAAAATAGTGCTGCGGACATCCAGCGAAACAGAGAGATGAGAGAGGAAAGGAGGATTGGAGGAAAGAGATGAATTGACAAAGAAACAGAAAGTGGGAAGAAAAAGACAAAAGAAAGTCACAGTTATGATGCTGCAGTCATACACAGAAAGAGCGACACACTGTTGCTGTGTCTCTTTCCACTCCCTATTTCCCCGTTACGTTACTCTGCATATCGTGAACATTCACGAATATACAAAGGGTCTTAAACCAATAAACATTTGGACTTGTTTTTTTTATCGTGCATCTTTGTTGTACCGCAGCTGTTATAAAAGTTATGAAAGGTCATCATGTGCTCATCCTCCATTTCTATCAAGCTGAGTTGAGTTTTTTTGTGGGGCATTGTGTTATTTTTGACAATGGGACATTCCTGATGGCCTACTACCTAACCAGTGCACTGTAACTAGGGAGCAGATTGAGACACATCCTACAATAACAACAGCTAGGCAGTCTGGGTATTTATTTATAACAGGCAAGTTTTGATATGATGAATCTCATAATAACATGTCCATGTCAAATTTCATTTTATTCCACATAACTTAATTTCTGAACTTGTTTGTATTGTTCCCTTTCAGTCTGTCACTCTCGACGTCACGTCGGATGACCGACGAATTGTGATCTTGCTTAGAGAGACCAATCTACTTCGAGTGTAAACTAAACGAGCCAATGCACATTGGCATGCGATTATTGCATCCAGCTGCCGCTGATCACAGCGTGAGTATAAGTAGGCAGCAGATGCAGCGCATATTCAGCTAGGCGGCAGCCAGGGGGGGCTACTTCAGGCAGTAGCGCGGGTAATCTGAGGCACTCCGCAGCCAGTTGAGCTGCCAATGGAACGTGCTGGGCCCTCTACAAGGAGCGTACCAGCCGTATCCTTTGGCGCTCCTCCCAACGACCAGATGTCGATTGCTGCATCGGAGGGTGAGCCAGAGTTTTCTGGAGAGGAAGATTCGGCTGCGCTGCTCTCCCCCGGGACTGTAGCAATGCCTGAATCGGATCCAGAAATAATGGCTATGCTTTACCGGGCCGCCGTAGGGGTAGGCCAAGGCACTGAGGGACTTGCATGAGGGTGGTCACGACCCGGAAGTTCGCAGGGAACTCTGCACCGCGACGGACCTCGCGCTACGAGCGACGAAGGTTACGGCGCGGTCTCTGGGTCGTGCGATGTCCACTATGGTGGTACAGGAGCGCCATTTCTGGCTGTGACTGGCTGACATGCGCGAGACAGACAAGACACGATTCTTGAATGCCACCGTGTCCCAGACCGGCCTTTTCAGCGACACGGTAGAGAACTTTGCCCAGCAGTTCTCCGCTGACCAAGGCAGACTGAGGCCATCAGGTACATCCTGCCCCACCGTGCAGCTGCTGCCGTCGCCGAGGGTGGCCCCCTGCCACTGCCCCGCTCCCGCGGCCTCCAGCAAAGCTGAGCCGTGGAGCCGGTCGTAGGGCAACCGCCCCACCCGTCCAGGCCCCCGCCAAACCTGGTGGCAAGCGAAAGAGCAAAAGGCCCTGAGACGGGTAACCCAGAGGTGGAGGGACCTGCTCTTCGGGAGATGGTGAGCACACCACTCCCTCCCCCGGAGGAGGGCCGGGCGGAGAATCTTTTCATCTTTCTCCGCCACTGACCTCTCGGTCGGTGGTACCCAAATACTCGACAAAGAGCAATTCCTCTATTTCTGGGTCCCCAGAGGGGACGGGGGGTTGTGGACGATCCAGTGCGTATCACACTCACCCTCCTCTCTCGCCAGTGTGCAGCAGTGGGCGGATCGGGAGGACGAACCAACGGACTACCCACGCACCCTCTGCTCGAACGCAGGCCAGTGTTACACACACACCCAGACCCCGCCTCGGACCGTCTACGAGATGCCTGGGCCGGGTCCCTGCGTTCTTCCGTGCTGCCCCACTGCGGGTACGCCTGTAGGTCCGTTGATGCCACTTTCGCAGTGTCTGGGAGCCTGGCTAGAGCTACCCAGCCTGTCTTGATGGCTCCTTCGAACCGTCAGGCTCGGCTATGCGATTCAGTCGCCCGGCTTCCCCCAAAGTTCAGTGGCATCCGCTTCACAATGGTGAAGGCGGCCGATGGTCCTGTCTTGCGGGTGGAGGTCGCAGTCCTACTGGCGAAGGATGCGATAGAGCCGGTCCCATGGCCGAGTCCCGAGGTGGGCGTGGCAACGCGGCACTCACCGGGTTCAAGTGACACCGGCCTGCCGCCAAACCTTCACCCCGTGGTCAGACTTTGCGTTTCTCCGGGCAGGAGTGCCCCTAGAACAAGTCTTCAGATATACTGTGGTTTACGCGGCTGCCTCAACCACCGGCTGGGGGGCCACGAACAACGGGCTTGCAGTGTCAGGGGCTTGGATGGGGCCCCAACTGCACTGGCACGTCAACTGCCTCAGAGTTGCCCCTTTTTGCAGCAAGGTTTGGAGCGAAGGCTGTCTCCCTCCATCCTCAAAGTCTATGTCGCTGCAATCGCTGCTAACCACGACCCCGTAGAAGGGAAGTCGCTGGGGAAACATGACGTGGTCATCAGGTTCCTTAAGGGGGCGAGAAGGTAAATCCTCTACGGCCCCCCTCTATACCCTCTTGGCACCTGACTCGAGTGCTCACAGCACTACAGCAGGGCCCAGTTGAGCCTTTGCGGGTGGTCGAGCTGAAGTTTCTGTCAATGAAAACTATGCTCCTGCTTGCATTTGCCTCCATCAAGAGGGTAGGGGACCTGCACGCATTTTCGGTCGACGATTCGTGCCTAGAGTTCGGGCCGGCTGACTCCCAGGTAACCCTGAGGCCCCGGCCCGGCTATGTGCCCAAGGTTCCCACTACTCCCTTCAGGGATCAGGTGGTGAGCCTGCAAGCGCTGCCCTCGAAGGATGCAGACCCAGCCCTAGCTTTGCTCTGGCCCATCCGAGCCTTAAGGTGCTACGTAGACCGGACGCAAAGCTTCAGGACCTCAGACCAGCTCTTTGTCTGTCACGGAGGCCGGCAGAAGGGGAATGCCGTCTCGAAGCAGAGGATGGCCCACTGAGTTCGGGCCGGCTGACTCCCAGGTAACCCTGAGGCCCCGGCCCGGCTATGTGCCCAAGGTTCCCACTACTCCCTTCAGGGATCAGGTGGTGAGCCTGCAAGCGCTGCCCTCGAAGGAGGCAGACCCAGCCCTAGCTTTGCTCTGGCCCATCCGAGCCTTAATGTGCTACGTAGACCGGACGCAAAGCTTCAGGACCTCAGACCAGCTCTCTTGTCTGTCACGGAGGGCAGCAGAAGGGCAATGCCGTCTCTAAGCAGAGGATGGGCCCACTGGATAATGGACGCCATCACCCTGCTGTATCAGGCATAGGGTGTGCCCTGCCCGTTCAGATTGCGAGCTCATTCAACTAGAGTGTTGCATCCTCCTGGGCGCTGGCTCGTGGCGCCTCGCTGGTAGATATCTGTAGAGCTGTGGGCTGGGCGACCCCTAACACGTCCGCTAGATTCTATAGCCGGTATCCTCCTGTGTTCTCACCTCAAACGGGTAGAAGCACTGAGAGGCCCCGACTTCGGACTTCTGCCATTCCAAGAGGGTTACAATCACCTCCAATCTTCCATATGCACCTAAGGAATGTTCATATGTGTATTTGCTTCCAAAACCTCCTTCGGGAAGGTTGGAGCTTCCGTAACGTCCCTGTTCCAAGTAGAATGGGTACGTTTTCCCAGTGTTATCCAGTCTTACTCATTGGGACTTGCATTGCAGTCTTACTCAGTGCCATAGCAGCAGTAGCTGGTCCTCTTGTGCAAGCCCTGGCCTACGCCAAAAAGTAGGGGCGCAGGTGGCTTCCACAGGACACTGGAAGGGGCAGTACCTGTGGCCCTTTTTGAGGATCCCAATTCGTCGGTCATCCGATGTGACGTCGAGAGTGACCGACTGAAAGGGAAAGTCTCGGTTACATATGGTAACCCTCGTTCCCTGAAGGAGGGAACGGAGACGTCACGTCCCGTCGCCACAGCTCCTGTACCACCGCTGAGCGGCTGGTTCACCGGCTCGGCTCCTCAGCGAAAACCTGAATATGCTCTGCATCTGCTGCCTACTTATACTCACGCTGTGATCAGCGGCAGCTGTATGCAATAATCGCATGCCAATGTGCATTGGCTCGTTTAGTTTACACTCTAAGTAGATTGGTCTCTCTAAGCAAGATCCCAATTCGTCGGTCATCCGACGTGACGTCTCCGTTCCCTCCTTCAGGGAACGAGGGTTACCATACGTAACCGAGACGTTTTCTTTGTATGTATGGATTACTTGGGCTGTTACCAACATCTGGTGAACATTTCATGTCAACAGCATCTTTAGAAATATATTTACTGAGAAAAATAGTGACGTGTTCATTACTTATTTTACCCGCAGTATCTATATTATCACATATGATATCTTTTGAAATGTTTTAGCATTTTGCTGTCACTTAAATTCAGCAACCACGGTTTTCTCTGGGTATAAACAAGACTTCCTGAAAGCATATTCCCCATGAAGTAAGAGTGTCAGATACATCCATAAACACAGCACGCTAAAGGACGAGAAACACAAAATCAGACAGCGCCAACTAGCAGAGGTGAGAAAAAGATGAAGAGTGAGGGTCAGACAGACGAGAGGAAAGTCGGGGGTCTACCTGACTCAGAATGATGTCTACTACGCTGCCAATCACCACCAGAGCATCAAACCCATTCCAGGGGTCCACACAATAACCCTAATCAGACAGACAGTGGCGGGGAGGACAGGAGAGCAGAAGGGTTAAACATCACGGGACAGGGGAACAAGCGCTCTGACATCACTGCATCATAGCCTGACAAAAGAAAGACGTACCTTTGGTTTGAAGGCAACCAGTTTGAGAATCATTTCGACTGCAAAGACACCCGTGAACACCATGTTCAAAATGTCCATCCCATAATTGAAAAGACGTGACTGGCCTTGATGCTGTGTACGATACAAATAAAATAAAAACAAGAACTTAGTTTTTTTATGTGGAATATAGTACAGTCCTTAAAACTCATTCATAGAGATCATGTCACATAAATGGTTCAAAATTGTTAACAGAAGTCCAAACAGAAAATATACAATTATTCCTTAACCGTCAAAGAACCAACATTGCAGTACTCTAGGACTCACGACTTGGACTGGATTTATTGCATATGCTTGAATAGAGCTGGGGTTTTCAACCTGTACTGTAGAGTGCACACCTTAAGTGTAACAGTACAGATTAAGGGGGGCATCTATAAAAATCATGTTTTTCTTTAATGTAGTTTCTACTGAGCTCACAGTAGGTCTGTCGTGAAAGGTTTTTACGTCCTGTACTTGATTATTGTACTCATATTTATTAATTCTCATATTCAAGTGGATAATAGTGTCTGCAAAATAGTAAATAGTTGGACTATCAAACCAGGAGTGATGTGTCGTCATTGTTTGAATTGTTTTTTTCAAAAGGGTGATGGTGAACTCTACAGCTCTTGCAACACAGGGTTAGTTGTAACACATGGTTTAAATATTTGCACACATGCTAGCATAACAAAATTTACAGAATTTACTGGTTGCCATATCAACACTATATAGAGAAAAAAGTTTGCCAAAATTCAAAAAGTAAATTTTCATCTCAGTTTTTAGTGCTCATTTAAAACGAGACAAATGTTGTAATGCTGCGTTAAAATGTGTGTATTATTAAACTATGCTATTCTATGACATTAGCAATGTAATTTACACTATAATTTTTAATGAGAAACCATGAGAAATGGGTGAGTAAAGACTGACAGTAAATGTTTAATTTTCAGAAATGAATATTTCAAGAAATGTAAAGCATTTTGGCTGGTCTAGTTTTCTCCTGTTGTGTGTGGGGAGTGTATCTCTGTGTTTTTCTTAATGTGTTTCTTCATCTATTTCTCCCTGTTGTTTTGAACTATTCTCTATAGCTATGTGTTGTGATCAGGCTGCTGCCCCAAGCATGGTTGCAATGTGTTCATTGACAAACTCCAGATTAGATTTAGATTAAATTAGATTATTTATAATTCTTTAAAAAAATGCAATTTTTTTATTTGAAAAAGTCCATAACTTTATTTTATTGACCAAACGTTTTAGTTTGTCTTGTATATTTTTCTCATTAGATCAGATATAATTTTAACCTGTCATATGGTCATGTTACAATGTACCCCGCTTACGGGGTATATTGTCACATTTCACTTCCATTCTTTTGGGGTAAATAAAGAAACGTATTTATGAAACAAAGTGACATATTTGTACTAGAAAAGTGGATAAAAAAATTATACTCTGAACTAGGGCTGCATGAATAATCGAATTTGATTGTCATGCGCATCTCATCAGTAAAGCCGGTTCTGTGATTAGTAGTAAATCTCCATCACGTGCTTTCAGATGGAGCAGTATTTACTACACAGAGCTGTAGTTCTCTGACAAGCTATGCAAAATCACGTTCATAATCTCAGACGATTTAATCGCGCGATTATGAAATCGAAGAAATCGTTCTGCGATTATGAAAGCTGTTTGCGTAGCTTCTCAGTGAACTACGGCTCTGTGTAGTAAATGCTGCTCCATCTGAAAGCATGTGAAAATACCACATTTAATAACGTTTTTACTCCAAACTCACTTCACAACATCAGTTGAGTGTTTGAAATAAATCCTTCTGTGAGATTATATGGCTTCTTACACAGAATAAGGCATGCAACATATTTCATATTATTCTAAGCAGTGATAAAGGTTATGTCGATTAGCATTGCATTATTATATACTTTATTATAATGAAAATTATAATAAGAAAAACTCAGATGAACCATATATTGTCTTAGTCGTGTGTTTATTAGTCTCGCTGAATCAATGAAAGCAGTTAAATCAGTTTATTCAGTTATCGTTATAGGGATTGGGTTTCTTCTGCGGGGTGTATTTGGAGTTTCTCTGGCCTTCGGATGGAGATTTACTGCTGATCACAGAACCGTGCTTCACTGACAAGATGCGCATGACAATCACAGCTTCTGCCTAATCGCGATTTATCGCCTTTTGCGATTTCATTTAGATTAATCATGCAGCCCTACTCTGAACCGCATGTGAATTTTCACAAACTGAGAAAGTCAAAAACCGTTAGGTTGTACCCATCTGTTTCCTGTTCTCTGAAGACGCTGTTGTGTTTGTGTAACAGTGCTGATGTTTAGATCGGTCTCCTCACCTGAACGGCCAGACACAGTGTGTTGAGGACGATGAGCACAAACATGACATACTCAAAGCCCGTGGAGTTCACCACATACCAGAACTTATACTGGTACGGGTTTTTAGGGATGTATCTCCTCAGCGGACGGGCTTTCAGAGCGTACTCCACACACTGGCGCTGTCAAAACACGCAAGAAAACTCACACCCTCGTCTTTCATTCATATCCTAGCTAGATCACAATAATATCTGTATGAACTTGCAGACCTGGTTCTTGTCCAGCTCACAGTTCTTGTACTCTTTCTCGCCCTGCTCCTGAAACGTGACAATGACAAAACCCACAAAAATGTTCATCATGAAGAAGGCAATGATGATGATGTAGATGATGAAGAAGATGGAGATCTCCACGCGGTAGTTGTAGATGGGACCCATGTTTTCCTTGTTTGAGTCGATGGCCTTGTACAGCAGGCTGCAGGAGACAAAACACACTCAATGGACCAATGCATTTCAACAGAAGATGTGGGAAGTAGTTCAGTCTATTTATTTTTAACTATACACAATTAATTACATACTTGCATTTTAATATTTGAATTTACCCACCAGTTGAGAACCACTGATTCATGGTGTGATATTAAAATAATTACAGTACAGTTCTTGCAACCATTTACCATCACATATACATCAGTCAAATGCAGATGTGTACTGTATTAAAAAAATGCTATAATCATACTGTACTCTTTTATAGTCACATCCTTGCAAACCCTTGTGAAAAAGTACACTTAATCATTCTTTAAAAAAAAAAGAGTACTTATGAAAATACAGTATTTTACTTTAAAATATCTGTTTAAGGGTTAACTGAATGTAATGCTTTAGATGCTTAATTGAAATGTTAACTGCAATTAAATGGAAATGTATTATACTTTAACTGTATATTAAATGCAGTTAGCTGAACTAGTAGGAATGAGTAGGATTTAAGTATATCTTTATACACTGCAAAAATAAAGATTTTCTTAGTATTTTTTTTAATGTTTTCTAGTATAAATATCTAAACATTCTTGAATCAAGATACATTTACTTGAGAAGTAAAATGACTTGAAGAAAATGTACCAATATTTTGTTATTTTTTTGCCTAAAACAAGTAAAAACATCTGCCAATGGGAAAAAAAAAAAATCTTGTTTTGCCTTTGAATTGTCACGGCTCGCTACTGTGAGGAGCACGGAGCGAGGAATGAGGAGATGCAGTGTAAAATTCAAACTTAAAGACTTAATAATATCCAGGGAAACAGGAAAACACACATAGCAAGGGTAGACATCAACAATTCCAGACAACGGAGAACAGAACGGGCTAGAACTCAAATAGGGCAGATAATGAAGGGCAGACAGGTGAGGAGGATAACTAATAACTAGGAACACCTGGAACTAATGGAACTAAATGGGGACCAAATTACGGGCATAAAGAAACAGGAGGCAGGAACACAGGGAAAACAAAACAAAAACCGACCATAAACGTGACATGAATTAAGATTATATTTCTTACCCCATCATAGATATTTTTCTTGTTTCAAGCAAAACTAACAAAATATTGACACATTTTTCAGAAAACAAGACTTAATACCTTAAGTCATTTTGCTTTTCAAGTAACTGCATCTTAATTCAAGAATGTTTAGATATTTTTACTAGAAAACAAGACAAACATGCCCAGTAAGAAAATAATTTTTTGCAGTGTAATTTCATAATTACATCTATTGTCTACTTATATTGTATATTAAGTGTACTGTACTGACAAGCATTTACGGCAAACTAATATATACTTTAATGTCAAAAAGTGTACTTAAGTATGTTAAGAAATAGCATATTTCTTAGAATCCTGGCTTCTAATGTTTGTGTTTAGCAAGAACAATTAGGCATAAAAGCTGTAAATCTGTTGTACTTAGGATTTATCTTAGTTTCATATTTTTAGCTTTTGTAGGTTTATTGTCTTATTTGTGAACAATTTGTGTGAGTGTATATCTGTTTGTTTAGCTTTAGTTTAGGGACAAAACTTTCACCAGAAGTGAATTAAATCGAACAAAACATCCATTAGAGGCAATCATTGGTGAACGATGTAAAAATGTGTGCGTGGCAGGGGGTATTTGGGGGGTGAGGTACATAACCCTGTGTGAATGTGTGTGTGTGTGTGTGCGCTATGGTCTTACGCTGGCAAGCCCTCAAACGTTGAGACGGTGAAGAGGGCCATCATAGCCATCAGCACATTATCAAAGTTAAAGTCACTGTTGTACCAGATCCTCTCACGCATTTGTGGCAGTGCCGTCTCACCAATACTGTACACGATATACGTCCCTCTAGAAAGACAAAAAGATGGTAGGACGCACACGCAGACACTGTGTATTCACTGTGAAACACTTCATTCGCATTCGCTCACCTGCAGTCCTCTGGACTTGTCTTTGCATCATCAGAACAGCGGTAGAACTTCCCCTGAGGACAACACATTTTCATCATGTAGCACTGAAAACTGTTTGTTAATGGAGTTTGTTAAATGTGAAATCCTGCTTTGCTGGGGCACCTTAAACAGCTGTACACCAATACAGGCAAACATGAACTGAAGAAGTGTGGTGACAATCATGATGTTCCCAATCGTCCTAATGGCCACAAACACACACTGAACCACATGCTGCATTGGCAGAGAGAAAGCAAAGAAAACAGTTTTGTTCATGTGTGCATTTTACAATTAAAACGGTAACAGATTATGAGTTTTAAACTTATTCTAAAGGAGTCGTGACATGAGGCAAGCAATTTTGCTTGATATTTTACTTTTAGAAGAGTTCATTGCATGAAAACATACAGGAATTGTCCAAACTCAAAAAGTAGCGAGATTGTTTTGAAAATATTTGACACTGCAGTTGTTCACTTATCAGAGCATAAAAAATGTATGACATGACCCCTCAGTCAAGAATGTCAAGGCAAGACTAATGTTTGCATCCAAACAAAATTTGAATGGGCCCCAATGAGTAGATTAATCATCAAAACAAAGAGTTAGCAGATATTAAGCAGACAGACAACTAATATTCTGATGACTTGTAGTTGCAAATTTACTTTTAGTTAGTAGAATGTCTAAAGTGGACTGTCAAAAATAAGTGTTACCCTTTTTTCAGTCAACATCAAATTGTCTTTGCCATCTGTTACATGATATCACCTTCAACCTTCTATAATGTCCAAATAAACTCTCACAGCTGCCACTTTTGTGACTTCTCTGCACCTTGTTTCTGAATCTAACCAATACTGTGGCACCTTTACACAGATCTTCACAATCTTTTGTATCTGGTGAGCTTCACATTATACTTGTGTCAGACAGAGATAGCAGTGCCTGACTTTGAGTCCTTTGGCTCTGTTGATGGCTCTCAGAGGTCGAAGCACACGCAGAATCCTTAAGATCTTCACCACTGAAATGGCCGACGATCTGCCGAACATGAGCACAGTAACTGTCTTCAAATGCACAGAATTAAATAATCCAGCAATGCGTGTCGTGATATGTACGTACTGTATGCCGAAGGAAACGAGGGAGACTCCAACCACCAGCAGATCCAGCAAATTAAAGTAATTTCTGCAGAAAGCTCCTTTGTGAAGGAAAGCACCAAACGCAGTCATCTGATGAACACAACAAAGACGGGTGAACTAAACTGCTTGAAGCTAAAGGAATTATTTCCAATTGTATTTATTACATTTAGATTTAATAGAAACAGTCTGAATTGGGTTGTAAATTCCTGTCCAACTCAATAACCCCAAATAAGAAACTAGTAAAGCACATCTTTATAATCTAGAACAGGTAAGAGAGTTATAGTCACATTGTACAGTGTGCAGATGGAAATAAGACAGGAGTCTTTACCTTCAACAAGATCTCCACTGTAAATATAGCAGTGAAGGCATAGTCAAAATAACCAAGAACCTGCACAGAGAACGCAACAGCAAAAAATTCAGTCGGTTCAAGTTATTTCATTTCCGCAGCTCCTTCACAATCCATGTTGTTTCAAAGCAGTAACAGCTTAAAGCTGTTTAAGTGAGCAGCCAAATAGGACTGTGCAAGGTTGCAGTAGCAAAAAAAAATTAGAAAAATTAATTTTGAGAGGAACCAAACTCAGCTGGAGGAGCCCATCATCCACTGACATTACAATGTGCATATGCTAAATATTACCTACCTAGTTATTACTCTCTAGTTAATAGCCGTGTTAAATGTTAAACCTGATTAAGGTTAATGCTATCTAGATGATATTATGTGTTCCCTGGATCAGTGAAATGCTTCAGTAGGTAAATAGTGAATCTGCATTTGAAGCATCTTGTGAATTCCTGTTTGGAAATAATTACTCCTTCAAACTGTGAACTTGAAAATAAAGTTAAAAAGACTCTAGTTCAATGAGTCTAAATGACGCTGCATAACTAGGATCTTGTGTTCAAAAGAAGAAATTCCCATTTTCCTCATATTTGTGAATTTTACACTATTCAAAAGAACAGATGACACAGTGTTTTGATCGTGCAGGTTTTACAATGTTTCGGGCAGAGAAGTTACGGATGGGGTCCTCGGCTGCCAGCGAGACGGAGCTCAGCATGATGAAGATGAGGATGAGATTGGTGAAGATCTGATGATTGATGAGCCGATGGCATGCCACACGGATCCTGCGTTACAGACAGAGATCAGACGGACAACAGTGTGTGAGAATGAACAATATGGCAGTCCAAAAGATGTTTTTGAAACGCCTTGTAAAAAAGAAGCGTTCTTGTTTGTATTAGAGGTGTGTATTTGTAATGTACTTCTAATCTTAAAAGTATACTTGAAGGTTATGTAAAAATAATAAAATATAAGTCTACTTAAGTGTACTTAAACTAAACTTGCACTTCAAAAAACTAAACTTTGTAATAGTGTCAGATTGAAAGCATTAAAGTACATTTAAATCAGTACTTTAATAATCTTTTGTTGTGCTTGTATGTAAAAGAGCAGCGTGAACATTCTGCTAAACATCTGCTCTTGTAACCACTGAAAAAAGAAAGTGTTCACAAGCATATATGTATATCCCTTATTTGTTAACAAATGGTTCTTGTTCTCTTCTTTTCTGCATATTTACAGTGCCTTGTGAAAGTATTCATACCCCTTTATTTTTTTCACGTTTTGTTATGTTGCTGCAATAATGCCAAAGGAAAAATAGAATTGTCACAACTTTGTAAATCTCTTCTTTTTTTTTATAGAAAAAATAAGTACATTGCATAAGTATTCATACCCTTAACTCAGTACTTGGTTGAAGCACCTTTACAGTCTTAAGTCTTTTTGGGTATGATGCAACAGGATTTGCTCATCAGCATTTGGCAATTTTCACGTTTTGTTATGTTGCTGCAATAATGCCAAAGGAAAATTGATTGTCACAACTTTGTAAATCTCTTTTTTTTTTTTTATAGAAAAAATAAGTACATTGCATAAGTATTCATACCCTTAACTCAGTACTTGGTTGAAGCACCTTTACAGTCTCAAGTCTTTTTGGGTATGATGCAACAGGATTTGCTCATCAGCATTTGGCAATTATCTGCCATTCTTCTCCTCGTCTCTTCACCTCGCAAACTCTGTCAGGTTGGATGAGGGCCGACAGACAGGTTTCTCCAGAAATGTTTGATTGCGTTCAAGCCCGGACTACATGCTTCTGTGAACCTTCAATGCAGCAGAATTTTTTTCTGAACTCTTCCCCTGATGTGTGGCTTGACACAATCCTGTTTCTGAGCTCTACAGGCAGTTTTTACCTGAGGGCTTGGTTTTTGCTCTGATATGCATTATCAACTGTTAGACCAAATCATACTCATTCAATTGAATTTGCCACATAAGTATTCATACCCTTAACTCAGTACTTGGTTGAAGCACCTTTACAGTCTCAAGTCTTTTTGGGTATGATGCAACAGGATTTGCTCATCAGCATTTGGCAATTATCTGCCATTCTTCTCCTCGTCTCTTCACCTCGCAAACTCTGTCAGGTTGGATGAGGGCCGACAGACAGGTTTCTCCAGAAATGTTTGATTGCGTTCAAGCCCGGACTACATGCTTCTGTGAACCTTCAATGCAGCAGAATTTTTTTCTGAACTCTTCCCCTGATGTGTGGCTTGACACAATCCTGTTTCTGAGCTCTACAGGCAGTTTTTACCTGAGGGCTTGGTTTTTGCTCTGATATGCATTATCAACTGTTAGACCAAATCATACTCATTCAATTGAATTTGCCACAGGTTAACTTCACTCAAAGTGCAGTAACATCTACATGAAATATGAATGCTCCTGAGCTAAATTTCAACTGTCCCAGATAAGGGTATGAATACTTATGCAATGGAATCACTTAAGTTTTTTATTTTAAATAAATTTGCAAATATGTTAAACACCTGTTTTTTGCTTTGTCGTTATGGTGTATGGAGTGTAGATTGATGTGGGAAAAAAAAGTAATTTAAAGCAGTTTAACATAAGGAAGCAACATAACAAAATGTGAAAAAAATGAAAGGGTATGAATACTTTCACAAGGCACTGTACTTCTGCTGTAGCTTGTGTACTAATCTAACTTCTACTTTAAACTTGCCATTTTGCACTATGCATATGTTATGATAAATTGCTTGTGATATTCCACATTTGTAAATGACTTTGGATAAAAGTGTCTACTAAATGAAAAAGTGTACATGTAAATAAACTCATACTGATTTGGAATGGGGGTGACCAAATGATGGTAGAGGTCTCATTTCTGAGTGAACTTTAAAGATTTGTATGACATACGGGTTGGTGTTGCTAAGGATGAAGAAGGCGCTGCCCTCTGGGATGGGGGGCATCTTTTCTCTGAGGCTCAGCTCTGACAGCCTCAGCGGCCGCGGGCCTGATGGTACCTCGGGCTCATCTTTCTCATCCTCCTCTACATACAAACATACAAACACAATCACAGCGATCAGCTGACATCACTGGAGCTCATGTGCAGAGCTGAGTGGTAAACACTATTAGAGGCTCACCTGAGGAGTCAATCATGTCCTCTGTCTGATCCTGATCACCCTCCTGATCACCAGATGCCTGCAACCAAAAGACCTCAGTAATAGTGATAATGTAGAGTCATCTGCTCGTTATAACATAGTAAACGTACTGATATTTTGGTCAGATTGTCCTACTAGAGCTTATTGGGCATGCGCACATCAATATTGCTTCCTTTTTCTCACACTGAACAACAATAATTACTGTATTTGCATTACTGTAAGGGGTAAGTTAGGTTTAGGGTTGGGACAGGTGTAGACGTTAAAGGGTTAGTTCACCCAAAAATGAAAATTCTGTCATTAATTACCCTCATGTCGTCCAAACCCGTAAGACCTCCGTTCATCTTCGGAACACAAATTAAGATATTTTTGATGAAATCGGAGAGCTCTCTGACCCTCCATAGACCGCAAGGATACTAACACGATCAACGCACAGAAACATAGCAATGACATTGGTAAAATAGGGGGTTCAACCGTAATTGTACGAAGCTACGAGAATACTTTATGTGCGCAAAGAAAACAATAATAACTTAATTGATTCAGCAATTCTTCCGCCATTTTGGAGCGTACCCCAGAACGTAATCAGCGTTGTTTACGTTTAGCATGCGCGCTGTCTACCGAACGTGATTACGTTGATTACGTATTTAAAATATCTGAAGATGAACGAAGGACTTACGGGTTTGGAATGACCTGAGGGTGAGCAATTAATGACAGAATTTTAATTTTTGGGATAACTAACCCTTTAATAAAACACAATCTAATAGGCAGAAAAATGTATTTATTGTTGGTTTCCGGCCTTAGCTGTATCCCTTCTTAGCCACAACCCGAAACAACACATAATTACTGTATTTCCATTACTGTAAAGGGTAGGTTTAGGGTTGGGGTAGGTGTAGACGTTAATAAACCATCATTTGAAAGGTAGAATTTTTTGTTATCGAATTGTACTACCTACTGTTTTAATAGGAGGTAGTAAAATCTGACAGGGTAGCACAGATCGACAGAACATAAAGCCTGTCAGGGTGGTAGCTTGACCCTCAGCAGCTTTTTGTGATCATGTTCAGTACAGCCACTTACCAAAGAAATAAACACACGACTAATCAAGTATTCCAGAGAGCCATGTCACCCACCTTGACGTCTCCATCGTCACCATCTCTCTTGTGTATGCTCATACTCCTACACAAAACACACTCTGTATGTTAGCAGATGTTTGTGCTCAGTATCTGAATGAAACGCTTCTCATGGTATCAGAGAGGAGCGCTCACCTGCTTTTCTTCCTCTTGTTCCTCTTCTCTTCCTCTTTCTGGGCTGAGTTCAGACTTTCAGCATCTGCCAGGTTATCCACAGCAATGGCCAAGAAGACGTTCAGTAAGATGTCTGATCAGACGTGTTAAGAAATTAAAAGGAGCACATTCAGTTCTCTCCCGATCAGTATTAGAAAGCGAAAGATACATAGTTATTTTAAGTGTACAAACGCCATTTGCAATTTTCTTCCAACTGTTGCTCCACTATGCAGAAGTTCAGCTGAGCTCAGTCCAAGAATATGTCGGGTCCCTTTTTATATTATATATTTTTTAACTACTGTGCATTTGAGCATTTGGTACAATGTAGAAGCCTGTGGGACCCAAATTAACTTGGTGCGGCATTGGACAAGTTTGTGTGTGAGGGAAAATACTGATGTGTTCGCAGGAAAATAATTACTTGTGAAAATACAAATGTCTAATTTACTCAAATTTATTTTATGCTTTAAGGTACAGAATGTTATTTGTCTTTTGAAGATAAATTGCTTACAGGTGCAGGGTTGGATATTTTCAATGCTTTTTAGTTGTATGTGTGAAAAAGATAAAGCACTTCCGTTGGCCTGCTGCAATAAATGCAGCAATGTAAAGTCAGAAGTGTCATGCTTGTGTGGGAATGGTAAAAACGCAAGATAGAATCATACTGGAACAGGACCGAACAATCTGCATTGCCCTCTACCTGTGGGATTTTGCAGGAGAAAGCGGGACAAAACGTAAAAGAAATAACTTATTTTTAGCGGGACAGAAAATCAATCCCACTTAGACCTCCATGACTATGTACTTACTGTGTACCTAATATTCTGAAACTCTTGTCAGTTTCGCATTTGCTGCCAGCGAGGTTGAGATATGGGTCGGGTCACTTCATTTTACTGCGGATTTGTTTGTAAACAAAAAATTACTTGATGCAGGATTTTCAGAAAGATTTAACCTAAAAGACGATGCTGTGTCCACTAAATTGGATCCGACAGTAATGCCGCAACACACAAATGTGAGTAACTGTTTTTATTATGTGATCACTATTGCGTTGTCTGTTAAACAGATCGTTTGCTATGTATTATGTGTTTTTGACCTAAATCACTGCAGCGTCCATCTGTGAAGGACGTAGACCAGGGGTGCCCAACCCTGCTCCTGGCGATCGACTGTCCTGCACCCCTGACGTAGACTGTCAAACATACACAATTGTTAGCCAATCACAGCAGTGGGCATTTACTTCCGAGTCTACAATCCTCCACGCCTATTCAAACAGAGTGTTCTGATGAGGGGGGTCAAAACAGGACAGAAAATAACCTATTACGTTGTTTTTTGATGTAAAAATCTCAGAGAACAGTACAAAATAATAAAAAGGGCAGTTCATGACCTGTTTAAGAAATGGGGTTAGACACTTTTCAGAATGCAACAATGTGTGAAATCAAAATTGGCGTTTATGTTTTTGGTCACTTTAGGCCTCAAAATTTACAAAGTTAATTTCATTGCCCATTGTCTCTTTAAACATATGCTTTTGCTTTAATCACTACAAATCTGCAGAACAGCTTTAATTTCCCTCTTCAGCTTGAGTTCAGCTGCTCGTTTGGTCAGTTCAACACAGTTTGAAGAAATCTTATACAGTAAGGATGTGACTTCAAACAGGCTAAACAGAAGAAAAGATACAGTTTCCACAGATGAAGAGGATGATGAAGTAGATGCACACGAGCATGCCTGAGGAGGAGGGGCCCCCATACGCCATGATCCCATCATACATCACTGTATTCCAATCCTCACCCGTCAGGATCTGATGAGCAAGAAAAAAAGTACATATTTACAAATGGTTATTTGTAAAAACACATGTTCTACTGGCTGGATGTGCTGCATCTAAAGCTGTTTCTTTAATAATTGTACATGCTGCTTTCATGCAAACTTAATGTTCATATTGTAAACTATCCAAATATTGCCAAACAAGCTATACATTATATTATATGCATAATGTGTGTGATTGTAACAGACTGATATAATACATGGTATTTTATTATTACAGCAGGTATTTGCAAAGTATTCCATGGTACTTCAAGGAATATACAGTATTATCATTCATACCATGGAATGTTATGGAAGGCAGGGGCAGAACATGAACAAGCCTTTGAACGTGCATGCATGTTTGTGTAAATGAAAAACTACTGTTTAAAAGTTTGGGTAACAGTACAGACTTACACATTGTTTAAAAAAAAAAGATTTAAAATAAACAATGTTCTGTTGAACTTTTTTAACTTCCAAAGTATCTTAAGAATGGTTGAGCACCAGATCAGAATGATTTCTGAAGGAGCATGTGATACTGAAAACTGGAGTATTGATGCTGAAAATTCAGCTTTTCCATCATATGAATAAATTGAATTTTAAATTATATTAAAATAGAAGGTTAAAACAGTTGTTTTAAATTGTAATATGTGACCCTGGAGCACAAAAGCAGTCTTAAGTCGCTGGGGTATATTTGTAGCAATAGCCAAAAATACATTGTATGGGTCAAAATTATAGATTTTTCTTTTATGCCAAAAATCATTAGGATATTCAGTAAAGATCATGTTCCATGAAGATACTTTGTAAATTTCCTACCGTAAATATATCAAAACTTAATTTTTGATTAGTAATATGCATGGCTAAGAACTTCATTTGGACAACTTTAAAGGCGATTTTCACAATATTTCGATTTTTCTGCACCCTCAGATTCCAGATTTTCAAATAATTGTATCTCGGCCAAATATTGTCCAAACTATACATCAATGGAAAGCTTATTTATTCAGCTTTCAGATGATGTCTAAATCTCAATTTCGAAAAATTGACCCTTATGACTGGTTTTGTGGTCCAGGGTCACATATTATTTCACAATCTTACTGTTTCCACTGTAGTTTTAGTAAAAAAAATCTTACTGACTCCAAAGTTTTGAACGCTAATGTACACACACACACACACACACACACACACACCTGAAAGACAGTCAGCAGGGCTTGAGGAAAGTTGTCAAAAGTGCTTCGTTTGGTAACAGTCTCGTCAAAGTTAAACTTCCCTCCGAAGAGCTGCATGCCAAGCAAACTGAAGATGATGATGAAGAGGAAGAGCAACAGCAGTAGGGACGCAATGGACTTCATGGAGTTCAAAAGAGATGCCACCAGGTTACTCAGAGACGCCCAGTGACTAGAAACAGAAAAAAGACTCAATACAACCAGCACCCTGATATTTTAGTTATTAGTCACATATTGATTATAGTCATCAAAAAACAACATCTGTTACAACAATTTCAACAGAACTTTGGCTTGTATTTTGATTTGTATTGACTCTTCAAGAGCAATACTACCAGGACATGTGGGATTCTTGAAAAAGATGTTTAGTAATCTAGCTTACTTACTTTAACTGGCCCTGCAGTGAGACTTTTTTTGTACAGAAGTACAAACACATGATGTTATGCACCAACTACCCATATATTTCAGTTTGATATGTTCCATATTTTAACTACTGACACATCAAAACACATCAACAGTGAAGTGTGAGAAACAAATATTAGTCTGATGAGAAAGTTGGGTAACACTTTAGTATAAGGACCAGTTCTCACTATTAATTATTTGTTTATTAGCCTGCCTTTTATTAACATATTGGCTGTTTATTAGTACTTATCAAGCACATATTCTGCATGACCATATTCTACACCTCTAATCCTACCCAATAACTAAACTAAACTATTAATAAGCAGTAAATTAGGAGTTTATTCAGGCACAAATCATAGAGTTGTGATCCTGTCTTTACAGTGATATGAAGGCAGCATAAGAAACCAGCTGATCATATGCGCTGTTTCTCACCGTGTGACTTTAAAGATTCTGAGGAGCCGGACGCAGCGAAATACTGAGATGCCGAGAGGAGACATGATCTCAAGCTCCACGAGGATCGTCTCCACAATGCCTCCGCAAACTACGAAGCAGTCGAAGCGGTTGAAAAGCGACACAAAGTATGCCTGCAGCCCCAGACTGTACATTTTTATCAGCATCTCGCATGTGAACAGGGCTAACAACACCTTATTAGCCACACCTGCAGACAAACACAACAAGAACAAATAAGATAAACATGTAATCTATCTGAGCAGTTTTGGTAATACTGTTATCATTTTTTTGTCAGTCATCAAGCTTTGGTAACACTTTATTTTGATCGTCCCTTTAGAGCATTCTGCTGACAATATAAGTAAATTTGCACCTACATGTCCACAAACATCAACAAGAGTATAGTAGACTGTCTGATTCATATCTGCGAACTCTTTATTGTGATGGTGCCCCAACAGACCTTCTACTGACTGTAAGTAACTTTGCAAGTACATGTCAACATATTCTAACCCTAGCCCTACCAGTCTACTAATACTCTATTAACACTCTATGTTATGTTCTGCAACATCTAGACAGACCAGGGACTTATGTGAGGATCCTGTTCGTGGACTTCAGCTCGGCCTTTAACACCATCAAATGAATGTATTTAATAAGAATAGGCTGTTGCTAACAAATGCCAGTTAAACAACAAATACTACAGGAATAAATTACATTTGAAAATATTTTAAAATAGTAAAGATTTTTTTTATTAATAATAATTCACAACATTACTGTTTTACTGTATTTTTTGATCAAATCAAATAAAATGCAGTGTGTGCACCTACAGAAAAGGGGGTTTTGTCTCTTGCCGCTATATTGAATGCAATGTTGTTTTAACGGAATATGTTGCTGCACATATGAAGTGTCTGTCACACTCAAACACACAAACTGAACTAAATTTACCATGAGTCTCAGTGGACTGACTGAACCAGCCCGAGTTTCCCGTGTTCTTCCTGTGGGTGAGATCGCCCAGCGTCACCCCTTCAGTTCACAAGCAGGTCACATGCATTCAAACAGAGAGGAGCTATGAGTGTCTACTGCACAAAAACACAGCAGCACTACAATACTACAACACCAGAGACAGACAGAGAGAGAAAAAAGAAGGAAATGAGAGAAACAAGAAGAACACAGAAGGTAGTTTTGCTGTTCTGACTCAATATTAAGCATAACAAAGCAAAGACTAAAAAGAAAACTACAATCACACTTTCACTACACAGCCAAGCTTCACATACTTACACTAATGCAAAGTACATAATAAAGAGGTTGGGCTACAAATTATCATTATCCTTCATTTTGGATTATACATTTTCTATTGTGGTGTATTTTTATCATCAACATAATGTTGTAACTATTGTTATTTGAACTCATTCTAGTTTTACTAAGCTCTGTGTTGTGGATTCTTGGATTTTTTCCCATTTATTTGGCTCTCACAATGTGAAAGTGTAACCCATTAACAGCAACCCATAAATTATTCAACTCAATTACACTTGGTTGGTAGTGAGATTTGCCTTTACTTCTGATACCTACGTAAATATTCTTTACTGAGGAAAGGTTTCTATAGAAGTCAAATGCAATAGACAGATAGCTTTTTAATCCATCAGTGTTTGGCCATGTAATATATCTGACATAATATGCAAGTAGCATTTTCTATTATTCTGTTACAGATCTGATCTAAGTGTGCCGCACACGACCAAAACATTTTGATCACCATCTGGTGGCTGGCTGCAGTATAGGTCATAAACAACTGGGACATGAGCCAAACTCAAACAAAAGTTCTTGTCACGCTAATGTATACTTAATAAGTTTGCTTTTAATTAGTTATTTGATGCTATAAAATGGGATGTGGTGTCATATTGAGATTGTGATTGGGTCTGAGGGAGTATGGGCCAGACTTTGACACTGCAGCTCCAACTCACGATCACTACTGCGCAGACACTAGCTCCAAACAAGTCACTACTGCGCAGACCCTGACTCCAAATGAATCACCACTGTGCAGACTCTGGCTCCAAAAGAATCACCACTGCGCAAACTCTGGCTCCAAAAGAATCACCACTGCGCAGACTCTGGCTCTAAAAGAATCACCACTGCGCAGACTCGGGCTCCAAACGAATCACCACTGCACAGACTCTGGCTCCAAACGAGTCACCACTGCACAGACTCGGGCTCCAAACGTGTCAAAAGAATCACCACTACGCAGACTCGGGCTCCAAACGTGTCAAAAGAATCACCACTGCACAGACTCGGGCTCCAAACGTGTCAAAAGAATCACCACTGCGCAGACTCGGGCTCCAAATGAGTCCCCACTGCACAGACTCGGGCTCCAAATGAATCACCACTGCACAGGCTCTGGCTCCAAACGAGTCACCACTGCGCAGACTCGGGTTCCAAATGAGTCACCACTGCACAGACTCTGGCTCCAAACGAATCACCACTGCACAGACTCGGGCTCCAAACGTGTCAAAAGAATCACCACTGCGCAGACTCGGGTTCCAAATGAGTCACCACTGCACAGACTCGGGCTCCAATCGTGTCAAAAGAATCACCACTGCGCAGACTCGGGTTCCAAATGAGTCACCACTGCACAGACTCGGGCTCCAATCGTGTCAAAAGAATCACCACTGCGCAGACTCGGGTTCCAAATGAGTCACCACTGCACAGACTCGGGCTCCAATCGTGTCAAAAGAATCACCACTGCGCAGACTCGGGTTCCAAATGAGTCACCACTGCACAGACTCGGGCTCCAAACGTGTCAAAAGAATCACCACTGCGCAGACTCGGGCTCCAAACGTGTCAAAAGCATCACCACTGCACAGACTCGGGCTCCAAACGTGTCAAAAGAATCACCACTGCGCAGACTCGGGCTCCAAACGAATCACCACTGCACAGACTTGGGCTCCAAACAAATCACCACTGCACAGATTTGGGCTCCAAACGAATCACCACTGCACAGACACTGGCTCCAAACGAATCACCACTGCGCAGACTCGGGCTCCAAATGAATCACCACTGCACAGACTTGGGCTCCAAACAAATCACCACTGCACAGACTTGGGCTCCAATCGAATCACCACTGCACAAACACTGGCTCCAAACGAATCACCACTGCGCAGACTCGGGCTCCAAACGAATCACCACTGCGCAGACCCGTGCTCCAAACGAATCATCACTGCACAGACTTGGGCTCCAAACAAATCACCACTGCGCAGACTTGGGCTCCAAACAAATCACCACTGCACAGACTTGGGCTCCAAACAAATCACCACTGCACAGACACTGGCTCCAAATGAATCACCACTGCGCAGACTCGGGCTCCAAACGAATCACCACTACACAGACTTGGGCTCCAAACGAATCACCACTGCACAGACTTGGGCTCCAAACAAATCATCACTGCACAGACACTGGCTCCAAACGAATCACTACAGCACAGACTCGGGCTCCAAATGGCATTATGTTTGCAAGATGACAGCAGCCATACTGAGATATTTTGGATTCACTTTTCTATAGTGGAAGGAAGTGGAGACATGTCGTTTATCTTTTTAACAGTCTATGATCTAATCACACTGTCACACTGTAAATTATATCCATCTAAAGAATATCAAGAATCCAAGCTAATGGCAGGTGAAAACCACAGACTGTGTGTGTCAGTGAATGATGAGATATTTTCCATAAAAAAATGGTCCTGCCAGAAGAATTGCATGAAATCTTCTGTCTGTTCTGTCTGTATCATCTCAGTAAGCTTTTATGAGGGTTTACACATGCGCAGTAAGGCGAATTGAACATTTTCCGACGTTTCAGCATGGATGAGAAACTTTTGGAAAACAGCTGAAAACACTAATGTGGACGGAAAGCATTTTAAAACAAAAACTCAGTTTTCAAATGTATCCAGATTAATGTAGACATATCCTAAAATTAATTAATTACTGCAAGCCACGATCTGATCGGTTTAGACTGAACTACAGCACTGCTCACTAAAAATATGACTGGTTTCATTGAGTGCATGGGCGTAAATCGCGAGGGGGGGGGGGGGGTCTGGGGTTGGGGTGGTGGTGGCTAGGACACCCCCCAAAATACTTGAAATAATTGGGTAAGTAGTAAAGCAATCTAAATGCAAAAAAGTGTTTTAAGTTTAGAAATGTTTTGAGTACCCCCCCTCCCTTGCCTCGAAGTTGTTTGGTCCACTGCCTGCTTTCCCCCTTTATACCGATACACACAAGAGTCCAGTGGAGAGAACAGAGGGCTTCAGTAGTTATGTGTATGTAGGCTGCCAAGGCTATTTTATTCACTTTAAACATTGGATGAAGGAAGAAAAAAAATCGGTGTGTTATGGGGGGCGGGGCACGAGAGGGGGGGGGGGGGGGGGGATGTCTGGGGTTGGGGTGGTGGTGGCTAGGACACCCCCCAAAATACTTGAAATAATTGGGTAAGTAGTAAAGCAATCTAAATGCAAAAAAGTGTTTTAAGTTTAGAAATGTTTTGAGTACCCCCCCCTCCCTTGCCTCGAAGTTGTTTGGTCCACTGCCTGCTTTCCCCCTTTATACCGATACACACAAGAGTCCAGTGGAGAGAACAGAGGGCTTCAGTAGTTATGTGTATGTAGGCTGCCAAGGCTATTTTATTCACTTTAAACATTGGATGAAGGGATTCTTTCTCTTTAATACAGATTATGCTGGATCATTAATAAATTAGTCATTAAAAAAAATGATGATATCCGATGTATTTTTCTATGAGTGATTGTAAGGTTAGCTTGTTTAATACCGTAGCTTGATTGGATAGTAAGTCTCCCACTACAACTAACAGGGCTATAAGCCTGTGTGTGAACTGATATTAGGCTAATATTGTAGATCTACCGATGTGTTGGGTTTTACTCAATATGATGTTAAGTGCAGTGGGCTTGCTGCGGTTGAATATCTAAATAAGAGACTTCCTCAATCCCAGATGAAACCTAAAATACTATGTGGAGGACGCAAAATAATTTAATAATTATAATATGACCGCATGGTGAACCTATAAACCAAACTCATATTTAAACACGGACTCCATGCTATGTACACATATCTATCCTTACAAGTACAATTTTGCTGTATTATTTGTGTCCCCTTCAAAAATTGCTCTTGAGAAATTTTATGTTTATTGCCCCTCCTACTGTTAGATGAAATTTACGCCCTTGATTGAGTGTATGCATAAACTGATGAACAACTTACATTTGACTAACATTACATTTTTCTCATTTGTGTCCAAAAGGCAGCATGCCTTTCAACAGACCTTCAGACAGATGAAAAGAGGAGAAACAAATGAGTCTTGCATTTTTACGTACGGCTGCGTTTGGCCTCTTGATCTCCCTCCTCATCATTATCAGGGTCGATGTCCTCAGCTTGTGTGATCCAATCTAGATATCCCTTCAGATCCTCCTCAAGCTGCTGCTTCTCACGCAGTTTCTGGAAATCTCCACGAGCCTTGGCCTTCTCGCGCTCCTTAGAGAACTCTCTGTGGTGCACACATGCAGACAAATTCACACTAGCAACAACATATGTATGGAAGAGATCATGTACCCAGATATAGACCATGGAAATTTTGTTTTGGTTATGGCACTTTGAAGGGTGCATCTATGAAATTACAGAAACTGAACGTTAAGAACATTTGGATTAAATAACTCACCCACTTAGAACGCCCAATACTAGATTGAGGACAAAGAAGGAGCCGAAAATGACCAGACTGACAAAATAGACCCAAGGCAACTCAGAGCCCATAGCATCATTCATCTGAAACACACAATGACACACAGCAACTCTCAGATTAACTCAAATATAATAAATAAATAAATACATACGAATAAATAATAATAATAATAAATAAATAATAAAATAATAATAAGTACATCCGAAGATATAATGTCTTTATTGCCTTGTTTTTTTTTTCCAAACCACATTAATTTTGATTTATATTGCTTTGCATGAAATTTAAAAAAAAAATTGTATTCATTAATACGTAATGATAGTTAAGAATTTAGTGAAATACATAGTTAAAACTAACTTGGTGGTTTTGACTCTTACAAGGCATGAAAGAATATGTGTGAATTGAATAATTAAACTGAATCTTTGTGATAAATGCATTCATGTAATAATTTACAGTGAGGTTGCATTCATTAACATCAGCTCATACCACAGCTCTCAGTTAACAATGAAAATAAGTATTTGGTTACACTTTAGAGTAGGGAACACATATTCACTATTAACTAAGAGTCTTCCCTCAATAAACTTCTAATATGCTGATTACTGATAATAAGTAAGGCAGAGGGTTGAAAGTTTATTACAGTAGTTATGTTTAGCTAGGGTTAAGGGATCTAGTCCTGCATTAATATGTGCTTTATAAGTACTAATAAACAGCCAATATATGAGTAATATGCATGCTAATAAGCACCTAGTTAATAGTGAATATTGTTCCCTAGTCTAAGATATTACCTAAAGGGTTATTTTTATACATAATATTAAGCTGAAACATTCCTAATGTAGTAATGCTGACATATAGAACCTTTTTTGTAAAGTGCTCTTGCAAATGGACTTTTACAGTTTATTTATTTAGATTTTGTGTAATTTGAAGCCTCATGTATAAACAGCAGTGGTGGAAAGTAATTTTTACTTTGTTACTGTAATGAAGAACATTTTTCAAGAATCTTATCAGAGTATTTTTATTTTGGTTTTTTATATTTTTGTATTGCTCCACTACATCCCAAAGCCTAATATCATACTTTTTACTTTTTTAATACTTTTTTATACTTTTATAAAAACATATCGTTCCTCATTATTTGACACCAAAGAATCTGATGCCTGCTCAAGACGTGATAGCAATGCCTGATTCATCAAAGAGCTGATCCTTTAAATCGGTTTACAAATCACTCTGAATGATTCATTGGCGAACTGAATCGTCCTGATCAAGGCAGGTCAGGCATGAAGAGGAGAGGAATCTAAATTAATAAAATGCATTTTATTTCTTGAAAACAAAAACAAAGAAGATGACAACACATAATAGTAAACTAACACAACTAAAGGCCTCGATATACTTCAAACGAAGTTCTTTTTCGTTCTTCGTTTCAGGGCAAAAAGAAGTTTGAAAAGGCTAAGCGGCGGTATACTGTTTTCGAACATTCTGACACCCCCGCGATGCTGGAGGCGGGGTTGTAAACATGTGTCACGCCGCCCGCGTGTACCCCCTAAACACAACAACGATGGCGGCTGTGAGAGAAGAACAGTTTCGTAAACATCTGGCAGTAGCATTGATCTATTCAATGGCAAAGAAAAAGAACAAGAACAAGCGACGTAGATTGTATGTGCGTCCACTTAACGAAAACAGAAAGAATGATGGTGATTTTGCCCTTTTTATTCAGCAAATGCGGAGCACAGATGAGGAAGTGCATTTTTCAAACTTCAGAATGTGCGCCGCGTGGTTTGATGATCTCTTGAAAAGGGTATCGCCATATGTGAAACATGCAAAAATGCACAGGACACGGATTTCCACTACGGAGAGACTGGCCTTGACACTTCGAGTACTAGCTTGTGGGGCTACGCAACAAAGTGTGGCTGAAACATTAAAGATTGGACCGTGCACAGCCCGCAAGATAGTCGCGGAGATGTGTTCACCTGTCTGGCCTCCGTGGAATTAGAAACGAACCGGGGGGGGAAAAATCTCACGTCAAAGGAGGTGGAGTTCCAGAACACACCCACCGACTGCGTAATTGCCATGGACCAATGGTAGCTCAAAAGTGTTTAGCAGGCAAAACGAACTCCCCCAAAAGTTTGCTTTGGTGAGCTGTTTCGAACTGCCAAAACGAACTCAAAACGAACTTCGTTTCGGCCTGATTTTGTTCGAAATGCAACAAAGTGTGGCTGAAACATTAAAGATTGGACCGTGCACAGCCCGCAAGATAGTCGCGGAGATGTGTTCACCTGTCTGGCCTCCGTGGAATTAGAAACGAACCGGGGGGGAAAAAATCTCACGTCAAAGGAGGTGGAGTTCCAGAACACACCCACCGACTGCGTAATTGCCACGGACCAATGGTAGCTCAAAAGTGTTTAGCAGGCAAAACGAACTCCCCCAAAAGTTTGCTTTGGTGAGCTGTTTCGAACTGCCAAAACGAACTCAAAACGAACTTCGTTTCGGCCTGATTTTGTTCGAAATGACATCATTTCAGTTCGTTCTTCGATTTAATTTGAAGTATATCGGGGCCTTAACATTGAAAAAACTGAGGGTAATATATTCACAGGATAAAAAGGGGTAAAATAAGGCACAGGTGGGATTACTTAATTAACTTATTGGTAACTAAGGAAACAAACTGGAAACAGGAACAAAGAAGAACAAACTAAAAATGTATCCAAAAACAGAAACCTAAACTACAATGTGCATGACACCAATGGCACTAAAAGTAAGTTACTAAAGTTGAATTTCAGTATTGATAATATTAAATGAAAATCATATATAGGTCATGACTGTCAGTTATTTGTGAACAAAGGTTTTGGTAACATTGAAGCTTTTAAAGCTTTTTTTCCATTGTATGAAATACTTTGTCACAGTCGCTACAGGGTAGGCTACTGTGTAGGCTACTGTGGGTAAAAACTATGAAAAATGCAAAATTAAAATAATGCATTTTAATTACCATGGATATTCCCTGCTGGAAATGGCATTTCAATTGATAAAATGTTCCAATTACTAATCTCCAGTTACTAACCTAAACTTGGCTCCCTGAGATAAGGAAACAAGCATTGCATTGAAAGCTTATGTGGTAAACTCCTGTTTACTCTGACACTGAAGCCTTGTTTTTCCATATTCGTGGTACACGAGCTGTACAAACAAATGGTGCTTCAGCCCGCCAAAAGGGGTGGAGCTGACTGCTATATAAGTTGGCTCTAAGTGCAAATCATCAGACACTTTTGACTGATAACAACACTCATTGACTCGCGAGCAGCACGGTAGCTTACGCAACACTCCTTCCCTTATCTCTGGGAACCGAGGTTACATTAGTAACCAGAGCATTCCCTTTCGAATAGTCTCTACCGATGTGTTAAACGCTAATGGGGAATGCATCCAATTGCACCGTGCTATATGCAAGTGCAGAACAAAGCCGCTCTGTGAGCCCAGCCTCAGAGCGCCCATAATGAGGGCTCCTAAAAGGCATGAGCCAATCATGAGGTCCAAGCCACTAGGCTGGGGTCTACATACAAGACCTTTTCCACTAATATAGGGGATTAGGTAAATTAAAGGGAAAAAATCTGTACCTGAAGGGCAGGGACGTCCAAGTTATAAAATCTGGTGAAGGTAGATGGCAAAGAGCCGCAGGCTGCCGCACAGATTTACCAATTGAAACTCCACTGGGCCAAGCCCAGGAGGAGGCCATTCCTCTGGAGGAGTGGGTCCTTACTCCAATAGGACATTGTAAGCCCATTGTGGCATAAACCAGGACTATAGTGTCAACTATCCAGAGAAATCTATCCTGCTTCGTGATTGGCAGCCTTTTAGAGCACTCTCTGAAGCATACAACGAGCTGCTCTGAGTACAGAAAGTAGCCAGAGCACTCAACATTCACTCTAAGAGTAAATTGGGACCCCACTCTTCCTTTGAGTTAGGAAGAGCTAGAAAGGTGATGACTTGTGCCTGACTCTAACCTCCAAAAAGGTGTTAGTCATTCTCACAGGGAGCTGTAAAGACTCCCATCAAGGGGCCAGACATGAAGGTGCCACAGCTCGGGCCAGGGATGCCAAATCATGACTCTCGCTTGAGAGAGGAAAACCGTCCTCAATGGAATTGGCCAAGGAGCTGCCAATAGGAGTTGAATTAACTTGGATCATTTGAAACGTCTGGGGGAGTCGTCTCCATTCTCCTGGAGCTACATTGCCCTTGGACAGCATGTCCGCACCTTGGTTCAGACTTCCGGGCACGTGAACTGCCCTCAGTGAGAGCAGGTTGCACTGTGTCCATAGGAGGAGGTGTCTCACCCTCCTATAAAGGGAGTGTCACCTGACACAGGCCCTGTTCTACGGGAGCTCCCCAACCTTGGAGGCATCTGTCCTGACTACCTTCCTTCTGGAGGTCTGTCCCAATGAGAAGGTTTTGCAAGGGGCCACGGCACTGATGCAGGGGTGGATAACTTTGAGGTGAAGATGTCCCAGGCACCAACTGTGGGACGGTATACAGGCTTTGAGTCAGAACTGGAACAACGCCTTTAGCTGCTGAATTATCAGCGAGTGTTCTGGCGCGACTCAGGCCCACATCTGGGACGAAACAATAATTGTGCCCAGGCAGACTACTCGTTGGCTGGGAGACACAAGGCTTCAGGTGGCTGAGCAGCAGCGACCTGTGAGTGAGAAGTTCCAGCTCCGATCTGGCTAACACCAGCCAGTTGACAAGACAGCCCATAATGGGGATTCCCATCTGCCTCAGAGGGGAAAAGAGCCGCATCGATGCACTCCACCAAGTGTATGCACCAGAGACAGGCCGAAATGGAGGACTGAGTATTGATAAGCCACCTCCTTGAATGTAAATGTCAAAAATGGTCTGTGATGAGGGGCTATCTGGATGTGACAGTAAACATCTTTCAGATTCAGCAATAAAAAGCAGCCCCCTTGGCATATTTGCTCAAGGATGTGCTATAAAGTTAATATCGAGGATGGGCCCGAGCCTACCACCTTTCTTGGGAACAAGGAAGTAATGGCTGTAAAAGCTTGCTGTTCACTGGGGGAACCATCTCTACGGCTCCCTCTGCAAACAGACTTTACACTTTGGCCTGGAGAACACGTGAATTGTCAAAAAGCACCTCTGAAGCGAGGAGGTCTCCGAACAAATTGTAGCCTCATTCTGTGTTCTGCAGAACCCAGCTTGACATGCCCAGGATGGCTTCCCAAGCCTGGAGCCGGGCGGCAAGTGGTCTGAGATTTCCGAGTGGCAGGTCACTGCATGGAGGCAGGGAACTGACATTCATAGTATTGATATTTTGAGTATGTGGTTCCGCTATTCCAGTGGTAATTTGCTCGGGTAAATGGGGAAGGATGGCCACAGAATTAACAATGCTTCCATCGCCCGGAGCTAAACGGGGAATTGGAAAGCGAGCATGAGACTTCTTTTTGTGAGGTCCAGCCTCAGCACGACCTGGCCCTCTTCTTTTTCTCTCTGCATAGGGATTGAGATGGCTTCTGTGGCTCAGGGTGCTACGCCACCCCCAAGGCTCTGATTTTGGCCAAAGCTGAGCTGGAGACAGCGAGAGCTTCGCAAGCTGCTGGGAAGATAAAGCCATCTGGTGACCTGAACCAGCCGCCGAGCTGGAACGCTTAGGGGAGACAGGGGAGTCAAGGAAGGCGATTTTGTCTGTGTCCTTGATCTCATTCAAATTTAGCCAAAGGTGGCTATTGCCTGTGCAATTGTGGTAGCCATATCACCCTGTAGCCCAAGACTGGTTGACCACTGAAACTAAGGAGGGTTGAGCCTGGAGACCTCCAAGGAAATAAGGTGTTAATGAGCAGTGGGTGCTCACCCTGTGGTCTGTGTGGGTCCTAGCGCCCCAGTATAGTGATGGGGACACAATACTGTCAACAAGCACCGTCCTTCGGATGAGACGTTAAACCGAGGTCCTGACTCTCTGTGGTCATTAAAAATCCCAAGATGTCTTTCGAAAAGAGTAGAGGTGTGACCTCGGCATCCTGGCCAAATTTGCCCACTGGCCTCTGACCATCATGGCCTCCTAACAATCCCCATATCTACTGATTGGCTTCATCACTTTGTCTCCACCAGTAAGCTGGTGTGTGGTGGGTGTTCTGGCGCACTATGGCTGCCGTCACATTATCCAGGTGGATGCTGCACACTGGTGGTGGATGAGGAGATCCCCCCTCACAATATAAAGCACTTTGAGTGCCTAGAAAAGCTAATAAATTAGTATTATTATTAATAGATGTGCAGCGACCGCCTCCTCCAGAGGGAGAGCTTGCCATATCCCTTTTCTTCAGCGCCGTCAAAGGAGGTGAGGGTGGCAAAATTAGAATAGTGGAAGTTCATCGTGAACTTCTGGGGGGAAAACTGCGCCAGTCCCTGGTGTTCTATTCGATAGGGAACACCTACATTTTATTACATTAAAGTATGTTTTGGTAATTAAATTAAATGTTTGCTTATTTTCAGATCAATACATATTAAGTTTCTTCATCTACTACTCTTCCATATTGAAGGATTAAATATATAAAAATGCAGAATAAATAAACATGGTATATTGATCAGTGCTTTTAATACTTAAGTACATTAAAAATCAAGTACTTTTGTACTTTTAAAAAAGTAAAATTGAAAAGGATTACTTTCACTTCAGTAATACTGTATTATTGTATCTGTACTTCATCCAGCACTGATAAGAAGAGGCTGACATGTTCTGACTTTGTCCCTTCAGTCTTAGAGGGTCAATCTCATTAGCATCTATTGAGCTCTCTGTGTGTCATGGAAAAGTGCTTAGAGCGGAAGTGGACGCTCCCAGCAGGAAAAAGCAAAGAGAATGCTAGCAACAGTGAACATTTAAGTGACAGGAAGACGTTGCGAGTCTCACCCAGTACAGCACGTCAGTCCAGCCCTCCATGGTGATACACTGGAAGACAGTCAGCATGGCAAACAGGAAGTTGTCAAAGTTTGTGATGCCATTGTTGGGTCCATGCCAACCATCCCTACACATAGTGCCATTGAGAGGGCAGTGTCTCCCATGACCAGTAAGAGAACAGGGAGCTGGGTCCTCCTCTGCTAATGCACCTGTGTGGAGAATGAGAAATATGTGGCTCATTCTCAGGAAATGGTGCCATTTATGTACTGTGTGTATGAGCACCCTAGTTAGAATATCTTTAAGACCCATTATTTGATGCATTTTGGTGCGTGTATGTGTGTGTGTGTGTGTGTTTGTGTGTGTGTGTATAATGCAAAATACATTTTCAAAACTGAACAAGTATTGTTTATAAATTAGTCTAATGAATGTGAGAACACACTGACGCGTGCCGTTCAGATAGCAGGTTGCATGCATCTTCCCGATGAACAGCTCCAGCCCGATGATGGCATAGATGATGATGACGAAGAGTACAAGCAGAGCAATGTGCAGCAGAGGAACCATGGCTTTAATGATGGAGTTCAGCACTACCTGTAAGCCTACACACACAAATATTATCAGCATGTTATCAGGGTGTTCTGGCTGTGAATGCTGGGTAAAGATGGTGACGCACTTGGCACTCCTGACACCAGGCGGAGGGGCCGCAGAACTCTAAATGCTCGTAAAGCCTTGACATCGAACCCGCCCGGCTTGCCACCTGACTGCCCGCTGACATCTCGATCTTTGGTTACCAGCTCCAGCACGACACTGAAGAGACTAAACACACACACATACACAAACACTCATCAGTATTAACAATAATAACAGAATGAGAGTTCAGGCTATTACTATCAGATTATTATGTTATGTAGAACATTTTAAGTTAAATGTAACAGCAGAAGACGATAAAATAGTGAAATTGTGCGTAATGGAGAGAACAAATTACATAAAATGAATGAAGGTCAATGTAATAATGATTAAATCAATTAACATCCACCATACTATATTCTTCTATCTCTTTCCTTTGTGCAAACTAGGGCTGTGCAAAAAATCGAATGCGATTTTCATGCACACTTTTTCAGTAAAGCTGCTCCTGTGATTAGTAGCAAATCTCCAGCACGTGCTTTCAGCGATGAATCTGCATTTTTTGGCAATCACCTGCGATTTTTAACGCAATTTTGTGAAGCTTGTCAGTGAACTACGGCTCTGTGTAGTAAATGCTGCTCCATCTGAAAGCACGTGCTGGAGATTTACTACTAATCAGAAGAGCGGCTTTACTGACGATATGCGCATGATAATCGCATTTCGATTTTTTGCACAGCCCTAGTGCAAACAGAGATGTTTTGCTTTTGGATGATCATTCAAAATTTCCAAGGCGTTGTTGTTCATGCAGTCTACAGCACAAACCTTGTTTTTTTTGTTTTATTTTGTTGATTGCTGGCTGGTTTTGGGAAAGAAACCCATTCACTAGCCTCTCCAGATATCTAGTATCTTAATTTCATTTATCATCACAACACCTTTTTACCATAACGTTGGGATGTCAGATAGAACAGACAAACAAAATGGCAGATAACAACAAGGCCTGTCAGCGCAGCAGTTTAATTGGCTATTTGGGCTGTCAGTCATTTATATGTTTTTTTTATACTTACTTCACTATTGCTTAGGGATGTATAAATAATTAACATACAAAACTAAAAATGGTGATAACCAAAAAAAATAATTTTAGGTAAAAAAAAAAAAATCTGACAAAGAGCAAATAGTAAAAATGCAACTGCATCTATTTTTTCCACAATGCACAACGGGTACCACCACCATATCCAAAAATCTAATTATTTTAGCTGGATTAACTTATTTTTAATGATTACTTAGCTTTACATACTGATCAACATGAACACAAAAACTTGACTGGTGTTTCTCTGGGGGAAAAACAATTGCATACAAAATATGTATGTTAATTACAATAATAAGCTCATACCACTTACTTGATAGTACCTCAATTTGAAATTAGAGAAATAAAAATCTGACTGCTGTTTCAGTTTTTGAGAAGCTATAGTTAAGTGTTCTTAATTGTGTACAGATAAATATAGAGAAGCAGACAGATTGTTATCTTATTTAAGCCAGATGAAAAGTAATGCTTAGGAAAGTTATCATGACTTTTTATCACTGTGAATAAAGCACTGAAAAGCTAGTGATGACAAAGGTGCTGAAGGTGGTACAGCATTACAAATACTATTTACAGAAATAACAAATTAATATAGGGCGCAATGTCGAGTCAGGTGGGTTTTATCTTTTGCATATTTCATAGACCTGTATCAAATAACACTCATCTGGCTAGGGAATGTCACAGATGAGATTCGTGTGATCCCTGAGGATCCTACAGCAGCACAATCGCCATCCAGCATGACCTCTGACTTCATGCACTGGATGTGGAGTTAATCTCATTACATCAGGTCAGAGATCAGCACTAGATCAGGTTGTAAGCTCTTGTGAACAGTTGCCAGCTATGTGCCAGACAAAATCCTTTCAACAATTTCCAGCTGACATGAACTACTTCCAACAGAGTTGTTCAATCATGACATTCATTTGTAGCCCAACACAGAAGACCAATTCGTTGTCATTAAAACACCATTTAACACATGCTATTTGATGGTAAACACACAAAGTAACACTTACAAGACATCAGACAAGTAAAAATCTGAATACACAACTGATAAACATAAACTGAAAAACACATTAATAACAGTTTAGTAATAAAACAATATTTTTATATATTTTACAAACAATATTTCTTACATTTTGCCCAAGAGCAAAGTTCTTTGGAACAGTGGTTTTGGGAAACGTAACTATTTTTGGGTTTTTTGTAATGATGAAACTTGTGACCATAGTTGGCTAAAGGCTGAAATAAAAAACCTTTGCCCAGATTTTTGCCCCGATTTTCAGTCTGGACAAGTTGACGCTAGCTGTTGAAAATCAGAGCCAGTCAAATGTAAATTCATGTCCCAGTCACATTTCTTGGTTAAATAAACATTACTATCAGAAAGAAAATCTATTTTATATTTTTACATTACCAACATAATCAATATTCTATTTATTAAAGCCAAATATGAAGTTAGTGTTTTTAAGCATTTTACATTTATTCCAAAATAATAACTCAAGGCAGATTTTGATGTAACAAAGTGGTTAAATCTAAGTTTTTTAATTAGTCTTCCCATTAACGCCATTATATTGTTCATTCAGACTGATTTGTGAAAGCAAACAAGCACAAGAGGTGGGATTTATCAAATGAACAAATCACAGCCAAACATAACCAGTCATATCCAATCATATCGTGATGGAGACATTGTGTTCTCCCATTCATTCTCAATTACATTATTTAAACCTGCTTTTGCGCAGCTGCTGATCCAGAGAGAGCAGCGCTCATCATGTGATGTAAAGCTTAATGTTTGAAAGTGAACATTTTTCGAATTAATGCCCGAATTAATGCTCCTCGCGACAGCCCCTCCTTGGCAAATTCCTCTGAGGAGGGATCTCCTTTCGCGGGCGATGAGCCCGTGTTCTCTCGTGTACTCGCCTCAGGTAGGCAGTAACACCGGACCCGCTCGGTGTCGATCACGCTTGCTGCGCCATTCCCCTCTAAGCTTCTCAGTTCAGTTCCCCATGGCGAACCCTGTTGGAGTTCCTCCCGCACCCTCGGCGGTCAGGCGTGGCGGAGCGCCAGATGCCAGGCTCAGCACTCGTGTGCATGCCCAAGGTCAGCTCTCGGGCGAGATCCCAATTAGTCAGTCACGGGAACGAGGGTTACACAAGTAACCGAGACATTACGTCTTTTGGATTAAGGCCAAGATTTGAATCTTAAGTAACATCAGAAATGTTCACTGTTTAAAGGACGTTATATGCTTGTGAAAAAAGTGCTTAATTATATTAAATGTGCACTTGTAGTGTACTTCAAATCTTAGAGAATATGATTTAAAACTGTACTTGCAGATAATATAATATCAATGAAATAAAATGCCACTTAAGTGTATTTAAAGACAGTATACTTGTTTCTTAGCACACTTATGTACTTTATATTAATGTCAGTTTTACTTTAAAGTATAGTTAATTCATTATGACTTCATCATTTGACATGCTTTAAAGAAGTACACTTATTTTGCTGTGTTGACTAACATAAAGCACATGTGAAGTGTTTGATTAAAATTGCAACTATATTGTGTTATCTGATGTTATATTTAAAGGTAATACATTTTACTGAATTGTAACATCATTTCGAATATATTTAAATACACAAAATACAAGTTTCAATTTTACATTTACCATAAAAGCTTGTCAGTACATTTGGCAGTACACTCATACTTCAAAGACGAGGTGTAATAATGAAATGACATATAAAGATGTGCTGAAGTCCTACTTAAGTGGGTTAAAAAAGCAGTTCAGCTAAATGCATTAAATGCATTTTCATTTAATTGCAAATAACATACAATTAAGTGTTCAAAAATATTACAGGACAAAGGAATATAAAATCAAACATGCATGTGTGTGTGTGTGTGTGTGTGTGTGTGTGTGTGTACCTCCTTTACCATAATTTGGGGACAAATTTGTACCCAAAAGTGAGCTAAACCTGACAAAATCTCCAAAAACCTCCCTTTGGGGACATCCTCATTTTTAAAGCTGGTTTAAAAATAAAGTAAACCAATTTTTTTTTTTAATTGTAAAAATGCAGAAAGTTTCCTGTAAGGGGTAGGTTTAGGTGTAGGGTTGGTGTAGGGCGATAGAATATACGGTCTGTACAGTAGAAAAACCATTACGCCTATGGATTGTCCCCATTTAGATAGCTAAGTAAACGTGTGTGTGTGTGTGTGTGTGTGTGTGTGTGTGTGTGTGTGTGTGTGTGTGTGTACGCAGATGTGTGTGACTGTTCACTTACCCTACTATGACGATGACAAAATCCAACATATTCCAGCCGTTTCTCACATAGGAGTTTTGGTGCATCACAAGTCCATAAGCTATGATCTTGAGGAAGGTTTCAATCGTGAAAATTATCAGGAAGGCATATTCTACCGTTTCCTGTGAAACACAATGATAGAAAAGCAAGATTTTAGTTCTATGCAGCTGTTTTAATTTGTAGAACAACAAGAGCATGTGATTGGTAAATCAATTTGACATAGAGAATGAGAAAAATCAATATGCATAAAACATTGCTGTTACAGATTTAATATAAACATTTCACATATATTTTGCATATAAACGTAGATACATAGAGCACATCAGATATGATAAACATGGAAGCTTGTGGGTGTGCATCACATGCTAGAACAAACCCTTTTGGCTCTCATGCATTACACTCACATGTTTATCATATGTGATGTGTGTGTCGATCATTGTTTAGATGTTAATAAAAGCCTAAATTACACGTGTTCATATCATATATATTTACAAGACTGGAACTAAACCGCTCTGATGGAGATCAGATTGAACTGCAGGTAAATGTGCATGCTCATGAAAGATGACGAAAGAGACTACATTCCAAAGTAGTGCATATTTGTAGGTTTTGGAACACAAACTAAAGGATATCAACCTCACGATCTTCAACATGTAAAAGTGCTCTACCATTGAGATGTAAGCCTGATGCAGATGAGGACATTTTGATGAGATATGGTCAAATTTGAAACAATTAGGATTAAAGCTGCATCAGTTGGATATAAACTAGCCTTCCAATAGAGAAATGAATAGAAGATGTTCATCATACAGTATTTTGTTTGCAAAGACAAATAACATTTTGTCTGCAAACTGAATCAAGCATTTACATCCTAAAGAAAGCGCCTGTTTTATGCGTCTTTTTTCTATTCACAAAGACAGAAATCTGAAACTACCTTGACTTTCTTTTTATTAAGAATACAACAATTGTTTCTATTGTCACATCCTTTCTCTCTCTATCTTTTTTTATATAACTTGCTACATATAACTAGCATTCCAAACAACTCTTAATTTCTGGTACAAACAGAAAACAATACATTTCCTTATAACTTATGTATATTAATTTCACATTTCCATTAGAACAGTTTTCACATTTCTTCTTCTTTTTTTCTCATGTGATATAGTCTTTTAAGTATTGAGGTTTCTTTATCAAAAGTCCTGCTTTTGTGACAACAGATGCTGGGATGTCTGTCTGTTTGGTGTTCTGCATCTGATTTTCCACATTGTTGGATGTTTGCGATTGAGCATCTGCAGTTCCTAAATGTTTTGTATTGTCAGGAGCAATAGTCTCTGTTTGGTTAGAGACTCTGGGGGTCATTCGCTGGTCCCTTCAGAGATGTCTCCTGTTCCTCCTTATAACGCCTCCAGAATCCAACTGGACACTGTAGGATCCTGAGTCGGTGGGCTCCACCGCTGTCCCCTTTCTCCAGAACTTATGAGGCTCAAATGGTTGTATTCTCACAGGGTCACCTTGTTTTAGTGTCTCTAAGTCTTTGGCTGATCTGTTGTAGTATGTTTGTTGCCGTTGTTGATTTGTTGTCAATTCTCTCAAAGAATTCTGAATCTTTGGTTGCAGGAGGCTGGTTTTCGTGGGTAGAAGTGTCTTTGTGTGATGGCTCAGTAGCCTCTCTGCTGGGCTGGTTGACAATCCATGTGTTGGTGTGTTTCTATGATCTAGGATTGCTAAATATGGATCCTGTCTTGACATTTGTGCTATAAGCATCAATCACTTGGCAGTTTTGACTGCTGATTCTGCCTTGCCATTACTCTGAGGATAGCCAGGTGATGAGGTTTTGTGCATAAATGCCCAATGGTGACTGAACTTCTGGAACTCCTGTGACGAAAACTGTGGGCCATTGTCAGAGATGACGATGTCTGGAATATCCTGACGGGTGAAGTGACCTTTCAGCTTTCTTATGACAGTAGTAGATTTGGTGTCTGGCAGATAATCAATTTCCCAAAAATTGGAATAGTAGTGTAATTAGATAGACCTTGTTGTCCAAAGTAAACAGGTCCGTGCCTACCTTGGCCCAAGGTCTGTCCGGCATATCATGTGTACGCAGTGTCTCCTTTTGCTGGTTACAGTCCACTGCGCGGGAGGTGTCACACTGCTGTACATATGATTTGATCTGCTCGTTCATTCCTTGCCAGTACACACACTCTCTGGTATCCTTTCACACCTAAATGAGATTGCGTTATTCCCCTCCAAAGCTGCTTAGGGATAACAGCTCGTTCACCTCAAAACAATGCCAAACTGGTAGCTCAACTCCTCTTGAAACAGATAATAATTACCTATTTCTTGTGGTGTGTCAGTCTTGTTCTTTGGCCAACCTTGTATTATGGCTTTAATCAGTGTCTGCAAAGTTTTGTCCTCTTTTGTTGCAGAACAGATTAACCCAAGTCTGTCCGCTGAGATCGGTACATGTTGTGTCATGTTAATTGTCTCTAACTCTGCTTCAACAGCTCCAGTAGCCCCATTCTGTGCGTGTTAGTGCTCTGCTTGTGAATGCTACTGGCTTACCTCCTTGCATGAGTGCAGCACCAAGGCCTCCCTCCGAGGCATCACATTGGATGGTAAGTTCTTCATCAGGGTCGTAATACTTTAACACTGGAGCATTTAGGATTGTTTCTTTTATATTACAGAATGCCTCTTCATGCTGCGCAGTCCATCTCCATTCACAGTCTCTGTGCGTCAACTGTCTCAGGGCCTCACACTGGTCAGAAAGATGTGCACAAAACTTTGAGAGGTAATTTACCATCCCTTAGTAGTCTCTGAACTGCTTTTACATCTGTTGGTTTCTGCATGCGTGTTATTGCTCGAACTTGGTCTATTTTCAATCTATCAGATGTCAGGAGGTGTCCGATGTAAGAGACTTCTCTTTGTCTCAATTTGAACTTATCAGCATTTAGCTTGATGCCTTTCTCTCTGCATCGCACTAGAAATGCTTTCAGATTTTCATCATGGTCTCTCTCAGCTGATTCTTGTGTCTCTCCTTGTCCTGTAATGAGCACATCATCAGCAATGATGTATATTCCTGGCAGGCCCTCTAATGCGAGTGTGAGCTTCCTCTGAAAGATTTCAGGGGCCGGATGCAGTCATCAATACCTGCCGAATGTGGAAGAGAATGTGGTGAGATAGCTGGATTCTTCCTCCAGCTTGATGTGCCAGAATCCACTTTTAACACAGTAAGTGTTTACGCACACAGTAAACACTTTGGCTTTTGACAGTTCAGGGAGTATGTCATCAATAGTGGGTAGTTGGAAATGACAGCGCTTTAAAGCTCTGTTTAAAGGTCTTGAATCTATACATACTCTGAGACTGCCACTGGGCTTCTGTACGACCACCATACTACTGATCCAAATCTTCCTTCAAAGGTTTCATCATGGCCACTGGAACCCTTCTTTTTGGGAGCTGTACAGGTTTTACAGTGTTATCAATCTCAATTTTGTACTCTCCCTCCAGGCAGCCATCACCCGGGAATAAATACATCAGCATATTCAGTCTTTATCTGCTGTAGTGACCACTGGCTGGTTGCGGACATTCCTTTGGTGACTATACTGCCTATTGCAAGAATGTTCTCGTAATGCACTTTGATGAGCTTCATAGCTTCACTTGTTTTCTTCCCTATTAGGGGGACAGTACAATTGTTATCCACCACCTGGAATTCCAGCCTGTACAGTTTGTGGTTTCTCGGGTTTCATACTTTTAGTTTGTACTTTCCTAGTGGTCTCACTTTGCTTTGGTTGTACATTATTAGCACAGTCTTTGTATCCTCCAGTTTTATATCTGGACTCTGCAGACTGATAAGAATTACATTACAGCTTGCTCCACGGTCAATCTGAAATTTCACATGGTCCTTTCCCAAAAGCATCCCTGCGTACAGCTGTTTTCTTTTCATTGTCTTTCTCTTTTTTGATTACAGTCTCTGGATTTGCTACACCCACAGTGAGGATGTCCTCATACTCATCACTGTCCTGTTCAGTCACTTTGTTTACTGATTTATGGTTTCCTTGTCTCAGCTGGGCTCTACATTTAACTGCATTTAACTTTCCACACTTTTTACATTTCTTACCAAAAGCTTGGCATTTCTGTTTGTTCTTTTCATGCTCTTTACCACAGAATCTGCACGTGATCATACTGCCGGGTGGATGGCAATCTAGACGTGCTCCTTGTCTGGCTTCTACCGCTGCACCTGCAATGGCTTTGCTGTTCTGTCGCGACAGCTCCGCATATACGTATGCACGTCTGTAGTGTTAAATCTTTCTCACGAAGCAGTCTCTCTCTCAGTCCTTCGTTGTTAATTCTGCATACTATTCTGTCATGTATGAGTGAGTCTTTGATTTCTCCAAAGATGCATGTTTTAGCAAGCATTCATAACTCCATGACGAATCGATAATTTATTTGACTAGCTCTCTGGCTTTTTGAGAAGAATCGATAACAATTGTTCCCTTTTAGTCAGTCACGTTCTACGTTACGTCAGTCGTGACTGATGAATTGGGATCTCGCCCGAGAGCCACCTGGGGTTTCCGGACGAGTGTGCTGTGTCCTCGGACAGGGCGGGGTCCAGCATCTTGTGTGGGACACAGGCAGAGGACAGGATGTCAATCACTGCATCGGAGGGCGAGCTAGGCTCTGGAGATGAGGATTCGGCTGCGCTGCCACTGTCAGGTTGAGTGGCGTTGCCCGAGTCAGATCCAGAGCTGACCGCTGTGCTTTCCCGGCCCGCCAAGAGTGTCGGGCTGCACTGGAGGCCTCCTCCTTCTCCCGAACGCTCGAGGCTGGATGATTGGTTCCTGGGGGCACAGACCGGGCGTCGGCAACCGCCTCCGGTTCCATTCTTCCCGGAAGTGCATGAGAAGGTTACTAAGTCTTGGAAGGCACCTTTTTCTGCCCAAAACAGACTTGGTGCCTCCTCCGTCCTCACCACCCTCGACGGGGGGGGCGGCCCAAGGGTATGTGGACATCCTTCCGGTTGAGCTCGCTATTGCCATGCAGCTCTGCCCGCAAAGCGCCGCCGCCTGGAGGGGTAGTCCACGCCTTCCGTCCAGGGTCTGTAAGTTCTCGTCTGCTCTGACAGCTAAGGCTTACA